ATTTGAGTGAAGCTGAGCAGCAGCTACCTTCTCTAGAACTTATGACAAAAATTGTACATTAGAGACAGGTCTGTAATTGCTAAGCTCTTGTGGATCCAAACTTTCTTCAGTAGTGGTCTGATTACCGCTACTTTAAATTGGTCAGGCACATCACCTGAGGACAGGAACACAATCACTATGGCAGTTACAGGTCTTGCCAAAACTCCCAGGGATTCTTTAAGAAGCTTAGTGGTGACTGGGTCCAGTGGACAAGAGGTTGGTTTGATTTTAGTTATAATAGTTTTTAGCATTTGTTCATTAATTCATTCAAAAACATCAAGGGTGTGTTCACGTTCCATTTACATTTACATTGAACATGTTTGAAGCCTAATGTTTGTAATTTTGTCATTAAAGAAGTTCATGAAATGTACACTACTGAAATGATTCAGTTGCAGAGGTTCAGCCTTATTTGTTAGATGAGCTATTGTTTTAAAAAGGTAGCGAGAGTTATTTCTATTGCCATCAATAAGGTCAGAGTAACAGGCTGAATGTGCCCTACAAAGGATTTACTTGTATTGTTGCAGGCTGTTGGACCATACCGACTTGAACACTTCTAAACCCGTGGATTTCCACTGGCGCTCCAATCTGCCACACTGCCGTTTGCAAGAGCGTGAGTGATCATTAAACCATGGGGAGTGTCTGGTGGTTTTTACCGCTTTTTTACCAAAGGCACTGTTGCGTCTAATATCTGACTAATCACTGTATTGAAGTTACGGCTGACTTCATTGACATCTGTACTAGACATGTGCAGGGATCAAATGCACTGGGCCTGGCACCCCATACTCCCGATGCCCCCCCCCCAGGGTCCTCCAAAGGACACATACCTTTTCCAGGTCCACAAACATGTAGACGTATGGGCTTGAACCCATGAACCCTCGAATATCCTCCTGACAGTAAAGAGCTGGTCCAGTGTTCATAAGTGAAGCTGGCACCAGAGGATTCCATCCTGGATCTGAACCTCCTCCTCTCCAGTGCCCAGGCCTAACCCCCCTCCTCTCCAGTGCCCTGGCCTTACCCTCCTCCTGAAGCTGGATCACGCCCTCCTGTCTCCATTCTTAAAGATTTGACGACCACCCCAGTCTGCTAAATCAAAGGCACTGGACTGGCAGACCTCCATGCAATGCTGAAGAGGCGTGTCAGCCAAGATAGCCCAACAACCTCAAGTGACTTTAGGTACTCAGGGCAAATCTCATCTACTCCTGTAGCCTTATCACCAAAGAGTTTCTTGACCACGGCAGTGACCTCATCCCTCGCGATGGGTAAACTCTCCGACTCTTCTTACTCAAAGGAAGGTGTGTCAGCAGGATTCAGGAGGTCCTTGAAATGCTCCTAGGGTGCTCTAGGGTCAGATGCATGTATGAACACCCCTATGCTCAAACAGGGTGTTCATTATGGACAGACTATGATTAGCACAGAAGATCAAATAACTGATTACCACTCGGATTACGATCAGGCGAGCCATTCCTCCCAATCACTCCCTTCCAGGTTTCACTGTCATTACGTACATGAGCGTTAAATTCCCCCAGCAAAATAATAGAGTCCCAAGAAGAAGAACCTTCCTGTACCACATCCAAGGTCTCCATGATAGCTGGATACTTTGGACTGGTATCCAACAGTCAGAGCCTGTCCCCTGACTCGAAGCTGAAAGGAGGTGATCCTCTCGTTCACTGGGGTGACCTCCAATGTATTGGCACTGAAGCCTCCAGGGCTGTAAGTAGACCCATCCCTGTCTCGTGCCTCTCACTATGGGCAACACCAGTTTGGATTAGAGTCCAGCCCCTATCCAGGAGTTTGGTTCCAGAGCCTCTGCTGTGTGTTGAGGTGAGCTGGACTATGTCTAATCAGTATCTCTCTACTTCTTGCATCAGCTCAGACTCCTTTCCCAGCACAGAGATTACATTCCATGTTCCCAAAGCCAGTTTCGGTAGTTGGGGATCAGTCCACCAAGCCCCCTGCCTTTGACTGCCACCCGATCCACAATGCATTAGAGCTCCATGGCGTCCCCTTCTTGTGGTGGGCCTACAGGAAGGCAGATCCATGTAGCTCTTTCAGGCTATATGCAGCTGAGTCCCATGGGTGCAGGCCTGACCCTCAGGCTCTCACCTAGGTCCACCAAGACATATAGACCCTTCCACCACAGTAAGGGGGGCATCCATGGAAGGGGTAGGATGTGTGGTTGGGCAGATGATCAGTGTCAAATACAAAGCAGCCAGAAATAGCTAAAAGCTGCTTAACATCTGCACACTACATGTTGGACTGCACAGTCCTGAGCCGATGGTGTGAGATTAGCAGCCAACGCCCTGACATGCCACCATTTACATTGGCATTCTTGTGTCATGGCAGTTTCTTGCTACAGTTGAGAAAAATGTTTGTCATCACTGAAACCCTCCACCTGGTAAACAGTGAAGGAGGAACTTCTGCACCAGTATTGCGCACTATACATCAGAAATGTCTCAATAAGCTGTGCGATTAGATTCACTGATTGTCTGAACGTTACACAACCAGATGTGTCCAGGCTCCCCGTACAGCTTCCAGGAAGGACCCCTGGCCCTCACACACCCTCAGGGGCCCTGTGGGGCCCCACGTTCATCCTGGAAGCAGTACCTCCCGCATGCTCACAGTCAGGCTGCAGCCTGAGGCTCCCCGGCGGGGCGTCTGCAGGAGGGGAGTGGAGGGGGCTGGGAGGCGGAAGTGCTGCAGCGTGCTGATAAATGTGACTCCGGCCATATGCACGCAGGGAGCTGCTAACTGCTGTGGTTTCTGTCAGGAGCCGCCCGGCAGGTCTGGGCCCCCGCTTTTGCCGAGCCACGGCCCCCATCCCTGCAGCATTGCACAATGGCACGGGGCACACACACGACTGCGAATATGCACGCGCCTGTGCAGCCAGGCGCACAGACGCTGCCATCCTTTGCCCACTCACACGTGGATGTTTAGGTCGCAGGCATGCATGCGGATAAAATGCATGGATGCATGTTTGCGCGAAGGCACTGGTGTTGACCCTTGCAGGGCCAAGTTTTTCAAAACGGATTTCCCGGCAGCCACTGTCTGTAATCACATTCTATATGCGACCACAGACCATAGCAGCGAATCCTCGCAGGAGCACAGCCCGGCTGCCCTTTTCAGAGCAAAGCATTTGTTTTCCTCCACCCTCCATTTCTTTCCACGGGCCGCCAAGCAGCCCAGGGGTGAGGGGGACCATCCTGTACAGACAGAGAGGGTCGGGCCCTGCGGAGAAGCAGGGGCCAGGGAAAGAGCTGGGGGTCCAGGTGGGAAGGTTCCGGAAAGAGAGAGAGCAGGAGCAGAGGGATATAAATAAAAACATGGAGGAGTGGGAGGGGACAGGGCCGTGGGTAATGGGGGGTGGGGGAAAGGCTGAAATTAGGGGGCCGGCAGAAAGCCACTCTGGGGCAGAGGGAGACAAAGAGAGAGTGGGCGTCGGGTCACATGACGGGCATTTCGGAAAACCTCTGCGGCCTGAGGAATAACAGAGCTGCCACGCCAGCTTTAGGTGGGGGGGGGGGGTTAGCAAGGGGGTGGGAATCTGGGAAGTTCCCTTTCTGATTCCTGGTAGATACCCACCACTCGCACTCTGTCAGCCACCCACCTGACCAAAAGGAAACAGCAGCAGCGTCGTTATGGAGCCAGCTGGGGGAGGGGGCTTTCCGGGGCCTTGGCTGCAGCTCTGTCCAGGGAGGGGGTGTGCCTGTGATCAGAAGGTCGCCAGTTCAAAACCCAGGGTCAGCAGGGTGATGTCACCAATTGCTCCAGACCCTGCCTTGTAAATAAATGCTATGTACATGTATGCATCACCTTCCCTCATCCGTACCCCGTGTTCGGGGAAGCTGACCGGCATGGGGGTAATGTTCGCACACGCCTCTGGAGATCGTTCCAGCCCGGGCAGCAGGTGATTTGGTTCAGGTGTTCTGAGGAGGAGCCTGCAAGTGTAACATGAGAGTGGCGTCACCTGTGGTGGGCCAGAGATGGTGGGCCCCACCCCACCCAGGGCTGAGACCCCCCGCCCCCAACATATCACATAGATGCCTGTGCTGGGTAGGGGGAGCAGCAGAGGGCTCTGATGGATACCTGCAATGTAAGACATGCCCCCCTAACCCCCACCAGACTGCCCTGCCAGATAAAGGAACAAAGCAGGCTTTCTTATGGCAGGGAGGTGTGCATTCCAGTCCCATGGCCGTCGTCACCGCGCACCCCCTACCAGCTCCCGGCCCACTTTAACTCCTGGGGCCCCTGATCACACCTGCGTCATATATCCAGGGGGTCGTGCGTCCCCCATGATCTTTTGAGCCCAAAAGGACCTGGATCCTGGACCCAGAATGACGAAGTGTCAGGAGCAGGTGAGATAGATGCAGGCGGACTTGCAGAGGGCAGCTGATGGCGGAGAAGCTCTCCTACCATCTGTCTCCTGCTCCTCTTCGCTCCCTTACAGTTACAAGTGAAGGAGGCAAAGAGTTGGGGGGGGGGGGGGCAGAGTGAGGGCCATGGTTAAATTAAGGACACACGTCTCCGTTTGTGGTTTGCACAACACACGAGATGCGGCTTGGTGGCTAAAAGGGAAGGGGCTCGAACCTTGAGACTCGCAGGAGAACAGGGACACACTGCATGGCCAGGCAGTTTGTGTAGATTGACTGAGAGAGAGAGAGAGAGAGAGAGAGGGAGGGACGGGGAGATAGAGAGAGAGGGAGGTAGAGGGGGAGAGAGAGGGAGAGAGAAAAAGAGAGAGAGGGAGCAGGAGAGCACATGCGGTCCTGGGACTTCAGCACCAGTTAGTAGCACTTTGAGCTCCACTGGTTTCCAGCAGCACTGACAGCGAGCAGTTCCCATTTGCCAGTTCCCCCAGCCGCTCCAAAGGGATTATGGGCTGCATCTGAGGACCCGCCTGACAGGTCAGCAGCAGACGGAGCACGCAGATGTAGCTCAGGTACGCTGCTGCCGCCTCACTCCGCGCCTGTCTGCGAGAGCGCCAGCGCCTGCCCCGGCTGCAGGGGGGGCATGGAGCTGTCGCCTGGGGGGGTCAGAGCTGGGAGTTTGACAGTGCTGCTGCTTTCTTGTGCTTAAAACGTCATGAATGCGCGTGTAGATGCACCTTCAGCTGTTAGCCTCAACCTAAAGGAACCTTCAGAATAAGTTCACGCTTTGCAATGAGATGATGTTTGCTAAGTTAACGTGTAAGACAGAACTTATAGCTGCCAGCTTGGATTTAAACCTAATATTAGAATTTTGGGATTGTAAAGTGAATGTCGGTGTCCTGCCCTCGGTCCCGTCCTGGGGCTTCACGGACATTCGCCATGTTTTGTCGTTGCTCGAACCCCAACCAAGTCCTGATAAAAGCCGCATGACTATTTGAATTCTGTCAGCTTTCAGAAAGTACTCCTTTTTTAATTTTAATGTCAAACTTAGTCTCATCCCATTGCCTCGGCTAGGATATCACAACAATAATTTGTTTTATGTAATAAAAAATACAAACAAATATCAGTTCAGATGTCAATCTTAAGATATTAACTTTAAAATAGTTTAACATTAATGTCTTTATTCTGTGGCTCTGTACAACTTTTTCAATCTGGCTGAAATTTACTTAATGAGCAGTTACATTTGCACTTAAAATAATGTGCATCATCTGTCTTTTAACTGCTCATCTTGGTCAGAGTCACTAGGCTTTCAAATAAAGAAGAAGACACTGCATATATATGAAAATGCATATGTAAAAACTGTAATACTCAAAAGTCATTCTTATAAAAACGTGTAATTTTATCATTTGAAAAGTTTAACTGTCCTTAAAAAAATACTAATAATAATTAATTGGTGCAAGTGGGGGATGTGTTTCGAGCGCAGTGTGTATGCATTACTGCTGGTGGGTCTGCAGACCTCTGATAGCCTTTTAAAAGGTGTCTGGGGGGCTCTTTAGCAGGCTGGCTACACCCCCCCCCCCCCACAGAGCTGCCCTCCTGGACCCCCCCTGCAGAGGGTGCCCTCTCTCCCCACACTCTGCCAGCTGCCTTGCAACACGTGGTGAAGAAACAGCACTGCTGTGCCTGGGTTCTGCGCTCCGCCCCAGAGGAAACGGTCGAGGAGAGCTCCCCATGGGGGGGTGGGGGGGGGGGCACATGTGTACAGATGAACATAAAGATGTTAACAAGCTACCCCGTCGCTCTGTGTAGAGAAGCAGCCTGGATATCAAAGGGCACAGCGCCAACCCCAGACTGCCGGGGGGCCGCAACGCTCACAGCACAGGAAAGATATCGCCAAGCGAAGTGACATTCCATCGTTTGGGAGATGAAAACGCATGAAAACGTGGTTATGGAGCCACCGCCATTAGAGCAGCTCGCGTCTCCATGATCAAGAGGCTCATATCGAGAGGCAACGTTTGCAAAACATGCGGGAGGAAGACTTGGAGCGACGTAGATCAGCCTCTTTAAAGCAAAGCAAAACGGATCATCGGAGCCACTTTTAGCAGAATGCAGAGTGCGTGCTCGACTTCTGTGTGATGCAGTGTAAATTTCACAAAGATAAATGTAACTGTAAATAGAACAAATAGCCGCAGTGGCACAACACCTCTACTAATTAAGTTACAATTGCAAAATCTGAGGGACACTGACAGTTCATCATCAGCTAAACCTGCATTCATTCCTCACAAACGGCCCACGCTGCTGCTCTTAGACTCATCCTGTCCATCCCACATCTTACTCAGTTTAATAGAACATGAGCCTTCAATGCTTCAAAGTAGCCAGCTTTTTTTTTTCATAGCTGTACAGTAAATGGGTTGGGAACCTTCTACAGACCAAAGTCAGTCTACCATGGGTGACAGAGCGTGGTGCCTGTGATCGGAAGGTTGCTGGTTCAAATCCTTGGGTCGGCAAAGTGATGCTCAAGCAAAGACCCCTGAGCATGGCCCTTAACGTTCAGTTGCTCCAGGGAATATCTGACCCTGCTTTCTCAAAAAAGCATATGCTTTATATAATGATGAATTGGATAAAAGCGTGGAAATGTAATGTGAATGCAGTGTAAAAGGCGATATATACATCCTAAACGTGTGTATGCAGGCGTGAGCGATTCCAGCTAAGGGGACGGGCAGTGGGTGTAGGGTAGGCCTGCAGGCCCAGTGCACTGGAGCAGTGCTCAGGCACTGCCCTGGCACACCGAGCCGCCTTCTGGCTGCCGGGAGATTGGCTTATCAGCAGGGGGCAGAGTGTGGCCGCAGCGCGGCTGATAGGAGCTGCCGCGTAACGGAACTGCAGAACTGTGTCCTGCGTGGGAGCACAAACACGGAGCAGGCAGAGCGGGGGCCCGAAGGAGGCAGAGCGGGGGCCCGGAGGAGGCAGAACGGGGGCCCGGAGGAGGCGGAGGGCGGCACGCTGAAGCCGTGCCCCAGGAAAACGGCCAGTGCCTTAAAGGCTGCCTGCCACTGCTTAATGCCACTTTCCCAACTGCAGCTGCACAGCATGTATGGTTGTGTCACTGGTATAGTGTGTTTACTGCATCTTGATTGTTGGGGAAGCTGTTAAATGTGTAGTGCAGACCTGGTAACATTAGACAGACTCATAACTATATGAGTATGAGTATAATTGCCTTGCTGTATGGTGATTGGTTGAAAGGCTAGTGAGTATGAATATAATGACTTTGCTGTATAGTGATTGGTGGAAAGGCTAGTGAGTATGAGTATAATGGCCTTGCTGTTTGGTGATTGGTTGAAAGGCTAGTGAGTATGAAGTGTAATGACTTTGCTGTATAGTGATTGGTCGAAAAGGCTAGTGACTGGATGACAGGCTGGTGAGTATAATTGCTTTCCTGTATGGTGATTGTTCAGTCCCCCTGTCTACCCCTCCAGAACACGTGTTTGCCCAAAGGCCCAGCTCTGAATGTGTGCAGCAGCCAACTGTGTCCTACGGCAGCGGGGGGGCTGTGAGGTAAGCATCAGCAGCGGGCGGGGGGGGGGGGGGGGCGGGGGGGGGGGGCGGTTTGTTGTGGGAGGAGCTTGGTGTGGGAATTTTCATTCACAGCCAATCAAACGCTTTGTTCATTCAGTCGCAGGTGATTCAGGCTTGTGTGCATGTTCACTACGAGATGCCATCTCTGTGCTTCCGTTCTGTCTTGAGATTATAGGCTCAGTTCTGGAACATTCATCTTCTCCCTCAGGGGCTGGCCGTTCCAGGAAGGCTACATGGGGGGGGGTCGGTGCCGCTGTTCACCCCCGGATGCCGCCCACAGCGGAACCCCCATGATGCAGAGATGGACTTGACCTGGCTGGAGCTTATGTCCATCACAGAGGTTCATTACCACAAACTCGTCATTAGCTTCAGCTTGCCAGCCTGCTTCAGCTCTGCAGCTTCCACCCGAAGTACACTAGTGGCCAAACCTGTGGAAACACCCAGCATTATTGGCACTACGCTTTAAAAATTATTACAGGGATATTGGCGGTAATGTTTATAAACAATCAAAGAATGTTTGCAAATATCATACACTGGGACGATTAAATAAGTAACTGGAGTAACCGGAATAAAGCTCTGCAATCCGTAAATATTGGAAGTGTCTCCACAATTTTGGCCACTAGTGTAAAAGCAACGGGAAATAATTTGCATCGCACTGCAAACACGTGCCACAAACTGTGAATTTGTGTATAGCTGTGAGTGCCTGCTGCACTTTAAAGGCCTTCCGAATGACAGGTAGGCGTAATTAGATGTTATGCTTCTGACTAATACTTAAATGGCCCCGGAGCAAACTCAGGTAAACTGTACAACAAAGGGCCAATAGACTGACAGGAGGATGAAAGGGGGGGGGGGGTCTCAGCATGCAGATAGCATGCACCGCACAATGGCCATCTGTGTCCTGGAGAAACCTGAGCACAGTTGCTCAAGCTGGGGGGGGGGGGCATCCAACAGGTGACTGGGTAGGGGGATCTCACTAATTCACTCTGCTTTGCCACTGTAATACATAATATGTCTTATTTTCAATTATTCATCTGCCCCCATTATGGCTGCAACCTGGCTTTCCCCCCCAAATTCTCACGTGGCACTAAAACGGCACTAAATCGTTGAAAGCTGTAGCTGCTGTCCTTAGATCGGAAAGATGAGACACTGTGAGAGCGGTCGATTTACCTCCACATCGGGGTCAAAACCAATGCAGCGCTGATGCGTTTAATATCATTAGTGCGATTATGCATTTAGTAATGCGACTCTCCGATCAACTGTAAGGGGAAAATGACTGTTTTAAATGTCTATAATTAGCCGGATTGCGTGAATAGGTATTGCGGAAGTTATTGTACAATCCCTGGAATGAAGACCAGAATCAAATGATTCCGATCTAAGACAGGAATCTTCCCTTTAATTAAACCATGTAAATTAAAAGATAAATTAAACATCCTAACCGTCGTTATTATTTTTATGCATTTCTAAGGACGCAGCTGATTATTTGGTCCGGGGTCCATTAGGGCTTCTTACCTGTCTATTAGCGCCGAATTGACGACACAATTTACTTAATTACTGCACTTAATTTCGTTTAATCTCCTGTTTCGGAAGCCGCAGCTGCCGCGTGCCAGTGTCATTCTGTAATTACATCTCAGTGTACACAGCAGTCTGCAACACTCTAGCTGCTTCGCCCAGACATTAGCGTATGTCAATTCGACCAAAAGTTTTACTGGAAAGCAAAATTATTTATTGTGTTATTTAAACCCACTTGATGTAACATTAATGCGAAGTGAATACGCCCTTGTGAAAAAAAATAGTGTACTAAAGTATTTACTTTAAAAAATACACTTCAAAAAAATATATCCTTTCAGCAAAGTCTATTAAGTGTGTTATATCCCTAAAAAATGTACTAAAGTGTATTCTATTACAGACATACATTTATACAAGTGTGCTTCGGTGTACTTATAATTATGTTTAAATGCAAAATTTATTTTCTATAGGTTCTATTTTTTCACAAGGGCGTCTGTTTTCGTGAGCTCTTAAACGCCTATGGTGTAGTCTGTCCGAAACATCGCGTAACATCATTACATAAACATTAATACATAATTCGTAACATTGGCACTTTCATATGGAATCCCCAGTGTTCTACATATGTTTATTAGGGTGTGTATTGTTAAAATAGGACACCGGCCAACATGGGACAGCTCTGTATGTGTTTAGTAATAGGTCTATTTTGTTCTTTCTTCTATATAGTGTTCAAGGAGCATTAATGTATTTAGAATGATATCATAGTTGGTATTAAAGACATTAGGATGATTCTGTAATTTTTTCCAGAAAGCAAATTTCCAGAAAGCGTTTTAACAATATTGATTCCCGGTACCTCTATTGTTGTGTCTAATGTGGCTATTCTATTCTATTCTATTCTATTCTATTCTATTCTATTCTATTCTAATGAAACCCACTAAATCGGCTATTTGAAGAAATAATAGTTTACCCGTTGTTGCTATAATAGACCTATGAATATATCGTGTTCCATTTATTTATAAATTACCGATGGAAGTATAGATCAATCGAGCTTTTATATAATTAAGAACGTAAGAACATAAGAAATTTACAAACGAGAGGGGGCCATTCGGCCCATCAAGCTCGTTTTGGGGAGAACTTAACTATAATAGATCAGAGTTGTTAAAATCTTATCCAGCTTTGATTTAAAGGAACCCAGGGTTTTAGCTTGCGCTACACCAGCAGGAAGACTATTCCATACTCTATAACTACATGCTGTGTAAAGAAGTGCTTCCTCAAATTCAGTTTAAAATGTTCTCCCGCTAAATTTCCACAATTGTTCATTATAAAAAGAATGACTGTGCCCTCATCGAACACCTCCTGGTTTAAAATGATTTGAATGATGGATTCATTACACCAATAAATCACGTGAGACTAATTAATCAAGAATTCAGCTGTAAAAACGGAAAAAGACTGATGCTGGGAAACCGGGGTCTGATCACCGTCCCAGTCTCTCGGGAAAAACGCCTTTATCTGTCAGACGCAAAGCAAGGTTTAAAACTTTCATTTGTCAATGAAATAAATAGCTAGTGAGTACAGTCAGAAGATCGTAGCTAGCTCATTGGTTAGCAGAACATACTGCTTCAGCATCTCCTACTTGACGAACATGTTTAATTTAATGATTAGTGTAGTGACTGTTTGTGGCCAACAGGGGGCCTATACAAATGCGTGCTTTGAGTTGCGGTAAACACTGCTGGCTCTATTGCTAAAAGTAGGTAATGAGTGGATAGCGCTGCCTTCTCTTTCCTTTTTTCATTGTCTTTCTTCGTCCTTGCAGGAGTTTGAGACTCCCAGTGAACACCAGTTTGAGTCCAGCTCCTACCAACCAGTTGAGCCGGCAGCGACCATGGGGACCTTTGGGATAAGCCAGTCCCCGGCAGAGCCCCTCCTTCCCAGCTGCGGGCCGGGCCCCGTCACCACCTATGATGGCTCTTTCCCTGATGCCATGCCCTCTTGCCAGCGTGTGGGGAGCAGCATGGAGACTCTGTACGAGCGCCCGGCCCTCCACCTGACCACCAGGGGAGTTCCAAACCAAAATGCTCTACAGTCACCGCTGATGAACCTGCTGGACCACTTGAGCTTCACTGGGGCCAGCAGTGGGCCCCCGAGGCTGGACGGCATGGGCAGTGCCCAGGTGCGCCTGGCAGCGGGCCACAGAGAAACTTCCAAACTGCAAAGCGCTCCCGATGACCTCGAATCGGACTCGGGTTTGTCGCTTGGCTCCACCCCTCCACTGGCGTCGCCAGGGCACATGGTGACAGGTGGTGCTGCCTACGTCGGAAGTGAGGTCACTCAAGGCTATGGTGACAGGGAGCACCTGGAGAACACGGCGGAGCACTGCAGGGTGAGGCCTGACCTCTATTACCCAATGGAGTATCAGCATCCCATAAGTAGCTACCCCTACCCTCCAGCCTCCTCTTCTTATTACCCAGTACCAGATAACTACCCCATGATCCAACACCAACGGCTAGTGCAGCCCAGCTCCTTGAAACACCAAATTCTGGCACCTGGCTTCCACGACTTGCACCTCAACGGACCCGGATTGTCGGGCAACCGAGGCGCTTCCTGCCGGACCACTTACGGCAAGCAAAAAATCGTGGCGGGGGCATCGGTGGCGCCGCCCAGAGGAGACAGCCCCCTGAGCAGAGATGAGCGCAGGGCCCTGGCACTCAAGATCCCATTCCCACTGGAAAGGATCATCAATCTGCCGGTGGACGACTTCAACGAGCTGCTGGCGCAGTACACGCTGAACGACGCCCAGCTCACGCTGGTCCGGGACATTCGCCGGCGAGGCAAAAACAAGGTGGCGGCGCAGAACTGCCGCAAGCGCAAGCTGGAGAACATTGTGCATCTGGAGGGGGAACTGAGCCAGCTACGGGTGCAGAGGGAGCACCTAATCAGGGAGGGGGCGGAGTTCCAGCACAGCCTGGCCCTGGCCCGGCGGCACCTCTCAGACCTTTACGCCGAAGTGTTCTCTCAACTCCGAGACGAGGAGGGCCTGCCGTACTCGCTGGAACACTACTCTCTGCAGCAAGCCAATGACGGCAGCATCTTCCTGGTGTCTCGTAATGCGGCAGAGGCAGGAGACTGATCCTTGGACATTTAAGTGAAGTTTTATAGGTCGGGTTTTTATAAAGAATTCAGTATCATTAAACAGTCTGACTCAAGACAAATTCATTGCCATCCAGGACGTTGCAGGGTCGTTTTATTGCAACTGCAACTGAAAGCCTCCCATTCGAGATCTGGAAGTCCAGATGCAAACAAGAACTGCCTTTGGTCCCTGGAAACCCCATCCTGTTCTTTTTTTTACCTTTGATACATTTTGTATAAATCTTATATGCTTTAATAGGCACCGTCTAGTTTGCTATGCCGTTAACTGCTAATTACTTTTCACGTCAAAATGTAAGAACTGGGCTGGTCCACAAAGAAAAGCACCAAGCAGAGTCTGTTCTGATTTTTATTGGTAAAACAAACTTAGAAATAGGGCTGTACCAGCAGCCTTTAGTGTTAAAAAAATAAAATTCTTCCACTTTAAGATGGACCTGCAAGAAAGGAGTTTCAGCATCGTACAGCATATGCAACTACTGGGGACAGTGTCACTCTTAAGGACGACTATGCCACCACCAAAAACAAAGTATATTTATTAGAAATTGGGCCTATAATAGTTGATGCCGACTTACCTGTACATTTGTCACGTTGTCACACCCCGAGACAGCTTCTCGAAATTTCCTACAACGATGTTAGGAAAACAACAGATGTTAGTGACCCAACATTCAACAAGTATAAACAAGGGCACCAAAAACATTTTAAAACAGACAGAATACATACATTTAAACTTAACAGGGAGCTTTCAAACACTGAGTTATAGTAAGATGGACTTTCTATAGCTGTCCCCATTGAGAGCAGCATGCCACCACGAGCTGGTAAGTCACTTTACAAGCTCCAAAAACCAGGAAACAGGATATGATGTGGATTTATGAGGCAGACATCCAAGCGGAGAGTGATTGGGTGAAGCAGAATGAGGGGCACATTACTGGGGCGTTTCCGCCCTCAGGAGACCAGGTCCCTGTCAAAGGCCTTTAGTAACTGAATCCGGCCCATTTGGATGAACAGCTGACTGAAGGAACACAGCAATTTCAGGGTGACGACCTTGGAAAGCAGGCAGAATCTGTTCTTACCTAGCAATAACCCTCTGCAGCTCCTGCCTCCTAGTCTGGGGGACCCGCTGTCCCCTGTCTCGGTCCCCTTCTGTCCCTCAGCTGGTTTCCATGGCTACACTCTGCATTCTCGTCTCTCCTGTGGCTGCTGATGTGGTCAGCGGATCTAGACCTCCACGCGGATCTAGACCTCCACACAACTCTGTCCTCCTATGAGCAGCCGATGCAGGCTCCACACGCGCTTTTGGCACCGATGTTCAGATTACGGACACTGTCAGTCCCTTCTCCTCCTCAGCATAAACAGTGTGGAAAGTGTCGGCAAGTATGAGCGCTACTCGGTTGGGGGGAGGGGTAGGGGGGGCGCAAGCTCAGGCATCAATGATCCCATGGGCTTGTAGCTGTCATGGAAGGTAGAAAGTGACCCCCTACTGGCCTGGCAGAACAGGGTCCAGCTCTCCCCTTGCATGAAGCTGGTCGCCAAACTAGAGCAGAAATGCCAAAGCCCAAAGGTCATGCCTACACTGTCCTCTGAGCTCAGCCATGGTGACAGCTGAGTCTCTGGGTCACTGTGGGACACCTGAGAGCGCTGCCTGGATGGACTGTGCAGACCAACTAGAGCCACGGCGGACATGGGATCACAACCTCACAGCCATAAATACAAGAACGCACAACTCATAAAAAAACGGAAAGATGGTTTATTTCCACTTGATTGGTTGCAGTTACATTAAAACCACCACAAGGGGTGCCAAACAAAAAAGGGTCTACATTTAAAAACGTATTGGAATGCTTACTTTTCACAGAAACAAATAGCAACTATAAAAATGCTGCTTGACAGCAGACACACATGAGCTCTGGCTATTGCACGTGTCTTGGTGAGACCGCTGTAAGCAGCCAGTGGAGTCTGGCTGAGCAGATCTATGGTTTAACCTGCATCTCGCCTGTCCCTTCCCTCGCTGCCTTCTAAGTACTGAGTCCTGTTGAACAATATGGAACAACATTGTTAAACTGGGCACTGAAGTCATCAGGTCTTCAATAAGCAACAGCCTCAACTCATTCTGTTAAGTGTCAATCACTCGTTGCAGCCGATTGAGGGTCACATCTACGCTAGCTTTAACTATTTCATATTGCAGATCAAAGTGGTTCCAAGTTTACTCCTAGCTATCAGTGAGTGACAGTCTTTGGCAAAGACCCCTGACCGCAGTCATGTGCAAGTCTGCATCTGCTAGAAAGAGGGAGACTGTGCGGACTTACCTCCAGATCACCTAGAACCTCCGGCCAGAGCTGCTGCCATAACCACCGCCGCCACCACCACCACCACCGCCGCCGCCACTGGACCCACCATAGCCACCTACAGAGGGCAGCAGGTTAAGCTACTGCAGACGAGCAGCGTCTGCCGGCCAGAGTCGTACTCGCGGGGGACCTACCGCCATACGGACCGCTGTTCCTGCCCCCAAAATTGCCTCCTTTCATGGGGCCATAATTAGAGGAGCCCTGGCTGTTGTAGTTGCCGAAGTCGTTGTAATTGCTGCCCCCAAAGTTTCCTGTGTAGTACAGACAGGTCATGTAGGCCCAGTGGCAGCATAGCACTAAGCCAACATTAGCTTAGCCCCGGCGGCTCCCCAAGCATCACTCACCGCCACCAAAGTTCCCTCCTCCGTTATTGTAGTTGTCGTATCCCCCGTTTCCGCCATACCCGCCCTGGCTACCGTAACCCGGGCCTCCGCCGTAGCCACGGTTGCCGGCGTAGCCGGGGCCGCTGTTGTAGCCACCTGAGATATTCACGGCAACATCAGACATCTCGTAGCATCGCAGCAACTCGGCACGGGAGCAAAAGTCGGGACAAAGCTCACCATCTCCGCCAAAGCCGTTGTATCCATCTCCGCCACCATAGCTGCCGCGGCCACCTGGGGGAGGGGGGGACCGCAGTCAGGTCAAGGTGCCCAAAAACGGAGTGGGGGGTCAGAAAGTCTAACACACACTGCGGCGGCCTGAGGACATACCACGGCCACCGAAGTAGCCATCGCGACCAAAGTCGTTACCTCCATAACCACCACCTCTGCCAAAATTACCTGCACCACCCCCACGGCCTGCGAACAGAAGGGAGATTAATAAGGTGAGCTCACAATAAGAGCGGATAGGATGCAGCGGGCCTGCGGGTGGCTGTGTCTTACCCCTCATGCTCATGCCAGAGCTGGCCATCTCTTGTTTCGAGAGCGCCTTCCGCACCTCACAGTTATGGCCGTTCACTGTGTGGTATTTCTGGACTGTAAAAGGGTACATTCGCAGGCGGTGAGTATTTGAACGAGTCAGCATGAAGAGCCACAATATACCGGTGGGCTCGGTGCACTCACTGACTATCCTGTCCACAGAGTCGTGGTCATCAAACGTAACGAAGGCGAAGCCCCTCTTCTTGCCGCTGGCTCTGTCCGTCATGATCTCGATGACCTCGATCTTGCCGAATTGCTCGAAGTAATCCCGCAGGTGGTGCTCCTCTGTGTCCTCTTTGATCCCGCCCACAAAGATCTTCTTGACGGTCATGTGGGCACCCGGTCTACTCGAATCCTAATGGGTGCAGGGCATAAAGCCATCACTGAAGCCCCGAATCCACACCTATGCATACAGCACCCCCAGGTTTGGCTGCCCCGGGACCCACCTCTCTGGAAACCGCCCTCTTGGGCTCCACCACTCTACCATCCACCTTGTGTGGACGTGCCTCCATGGCCGCGTTGACCTCGTTCACAGAAGAGTAGGTGACGAAACCAAACCCCCTGGACCTCTTTGTGTTTGGATCCCTCATCACCTACACAAAGAAAGGTGTCCGAATGGTTTTAACACACAGTCGGGTCCCCAAAGTATGCAAACGCCGCCTGATGCAGGCGCCACTCACCACACAGTCTGTAAGGGTCCCCCATTGCTCGAAATGCTCCCGCAGACTCTCGTCGGTGGTCTCAAAGCTCAGGCCTCCGATGAAAAGCTTACGGAGTTGCTCGGGTTCTCGGGGTGCCTGAGGAAGGAACGGAGCCGCGTTAAAGGAGCTTGGGAGCAGCCTCAGACCATTCAGAACGGCCAGCTGATCTCAGTTCAATGCATTTACGAGGTTAACAGTTATTGCGCCTGGTGGAGACGCGCAGCCGGCGACGGAGGGCTCATACAAAACGGACCGGCCTGGAACAATGGCCCCGGCCAAGGGGGAGAGGCGACGCCGACAGCCAGTACTCAGCATGGCCACGTGGGACGATTTAAACAACACATCAGCCAAAACCACCACATTAAATATAGGAGGTGCGCGGTAAACCGCGGTCGGAACTTGCTCAGCGTACGGAGCCGCGTTTTCAGGCTACGCAGAGTACGGCCCGAAATCAAAATGGCGCCGCATGGTCTACGCCTGCGGGCGGACCGGCAACAAAGGCGCCCGCGAGTGCCACCTTGATTCAACATGCAAATACAACACGACATGCTCGGTAAATAATTTCCATTACACGAGTCCGCTTAAACACTCACCTCTTTCGACATTTTGCGTTAAAATTACCGTGCCGACAACCTCGCCTACTTCACGCAAAACAGATCGCTCGTCACCTACGGTGTACGCTATGTAGAAAGGAAAAGCCCGCCCATCAAGCACTCCTATTGGTCATCTATTCCCGCTGTGTCAAGAGTGGTGCACCCTTGTCGAACCTGATTAGTTAAAATCTTCATCAATTACGCCCCTAACTGTTTATCGATCCACTAATATTACGTATTTCAAATATGTTCCCGCGCATGTAAACGCTGATAGGTCAGTTTACAAGTTCAGGGGGGTTGGTTTTGAGGGAAGTAGTAGTAGTAGTGTTCAGCCGAAAAAGCTTGTTTGGTTTGTGTTTGGAATCGCAGTTACATTTTATAAACAGATACATGTCTCAAAAAATATTCGTTTGAATTTCATTTAAACAATGTTCAACCAATGTTCATCCCGACTCTTTTCCCATATGAGAGATTACTTTCATTAACCTTTAGTAAACTTTAACACATAATGTCTCAAACTGAATGAAAATAGACGATATAAGAGACAGGATGCCCATGCCGTACATAACATGTAATTCTCCTTTCAGAAGCATGCTACTGATTAGTATAATGCTTAACTAAAATTTGCAGCTATATGGTCACGTTTCTCAGTCAACAACAGACAATGGCGGAGCGGCACCGCGAACATTGGTGCGTGCGTGTGGACGTATGCACGTGTACACGCGCGTTCGCGTGGGCGTGCGCAGCCCATCATTGTGCGTTTGGCGCGTGCACATACGGAGCGCCGGTAACTGCAGCGGTGGAGGGAATCAAGGAGGGAGCCGGGCACAGCACGGTGAGTCAAACGCCCGGGCGGATCAGCATGCCATGAAATGTGCGCTGCAACGTAAGGTTGCAGATATCTTATGGGTTTCGGAGCATTAAACCGATGCGTTACACGTTGGTCGGTAATTGAAAGAATACGGCAGAATCTGTAGCTATATGCGGCGGAGCGGCTGGGGATGAGAACAAAAAAAGATGGGGGATGTTAGACAGGCCGAGTGGCCAATCAGAGCCTCGTGTAGGTCGAGATGGAGCGGCAGATGGTTCGTGCTAACCAATCACAATTTTAGTTGGGGGTGGAACTTCCTGAGAGGGATTTAGTGGTTACCATGCGTGTTTGTATGGAAAGGGGTTCATATTTATAAACTGCAATACATATGTGTTTGTTTTGAGGGGGAACTTGAGTTGTTGAACGAACTACACTATTGTACCTGTCATACAAATGTGCATGAATACATGCGCCCTGCGTTCTCAATCCTGCGCTTGTTTGGATTTTGGTCTGTACTTGCTGCAGCCACTAAGGCGGGATTTACCCTTTAATAAGAAGCACTGTGACACCATCTGACCAGAATACAGCCCACAGATAGTAGCTTTTAAACGCTAACGCGTTTTCTTTTAGGAAAGCAGCGTGATCGCTGGTCCCTTTTCTGTAACTCATGTTTGAATACGGAAGCACGTTTGCTGCGTGTCCCCTACTTTATAAATAGACAGGGTCTCTCCGTCGCTCCTTTAACACACTATATTACTGGTTAATATACAGCAATATATTTCTCAATTCATTGCCAGCTACTTTCATCGGACATGCTGGGTTTTAGTCGTTCTCGGGAAGTGGAAAAGTCAGGATGAGGTCCCTGAAACTCAGATGAATGAGACCTCGATTGTTGTGTCCTCCTGACTTTAATCTGTTTTAGTGTGAAGCCGAAAGCTGTTCGCTCTACATTGGCGACCCTAAGCACCTGATCCAGCACTCATCTCTCTGTTAATCAGGCACCTGATTTCTTTTGTAAGTACATTCTTGTCCTTAAAATAAACTTTGATCCTGGAGGCTGGGAACTTTAAAAATTGCTGGAATTGTTAGTCACTGTGGCCATTTAAGTCAAGGTAGCAGCAACCTGGTGAGTTAAAACAGTCGGTGCTGACAATGTTGCTTAATCCTCACTCTGGCAGCCACACTAGGGGTGGTCATAACATAATACCTCTTCCTCCCTTGTTCTTCCTAACTGCCAGATCCAGACGCACCGCATAAGTTGTTAATGTAGGCGACCAAAAAAAGATCTTTATTTCCTTAGAGAAACCACGTTTTAAGAAGTGGGCAAGGCCAATGTAACAGACAAAATGATATTGTCAAAATGCACAAAGGAACTTTAATTTAAAATGAAAAGTCATCGCTATCCTATTCCTTATGTAACACAGAACAGTACAGTACACAAATTACTATAGGTTTATGATCAGTTGCCGTGTGAAACAGTTGCTGTGTTTTACGGTTGGCAGACACATCGATAAAACATCGTATAGTGATTATGAACGTTCATAATCGTCATCAGTTTGAGCATCCCGAGTATCGTGATATAGCCTAAACCCTTGTTTCCTTGCATAATCAGTTATAATTTTTACATGTCTTCCATCAAGGTGTCAATCTGTTGTTGGTGTCATTTATCAGTATGACTGTCAATGCTCTATATGTATTAGTAAAACAATTCAGTCATTGTAATCAGAAAAACCTGTCATAGTTTACTGTTCTAAATTACTTTTTAAATATTGTGATAAATATCAATATCTGCAACTCTTAAAATATTGATTTTTTTTTTTAGGTTATTATGCCCAGTCCTACTGTTTTTATGGTTGTAGATGTTGATATTTGAAATGTCCTGTAGGTGTGCGCAGGTATAAGGGCACTGATATGCCTGTATCACTTGTTGAAATGCGTCAGTAAAACTTAAATCATTCTATTTTTCTCCCCCCCCATTTCTATAGCCAGGAATTTTTATCTTCCCTTCGTTTGCGAGAGGGTTCTTCGCTCTACACCTTACTGTTTAGACTTGTGAACCATGGGGAAGAAGAGCCAGCGACGCCCAGATGAAGATTCGTCAGCCTCTGAGGAGGAGGAGTATGTCGTGGAGAAAGTGCTGGACCGCAGGATAGCGAAGGGCAGGGTGGAGTACTTCCTAAAGTGGAAAGGCTTCACAGAGTAAGGTGGTCTCCCTCTTTCTATGCATGGCTACTGTGTGGGATTTGTGGACATTGATGCATCTGAACTAGTGCTTGGACAGAGAATTCAGGGGGGAAATTGTATATTTACGAAGGCAGCTAATACTTCTTGAAAGCCTACAGAAACTTGGTCAAGGAACCTACTGAGGTCTTGCATACAATTTGAATAAATGAATTTACTGCACTGAAGGGAATGTAATGTGGAAAAGACTGTTACCTAGGGTGATGGACATAGCCCATTGCCCCTGTTAGTGTCTGCACCCCTCTGACCCTGCGTGCCCTTTTCTGGGACATGGTGTTTAAAGGAAACACAATACATGGGAACCAGAGAAGAACCTAGACTGTCCTGAGCTCATAGCTGAGTTCATGAAGACCTACAAGAAAAGTGGCAGTGGAGATGGCAAGTCCAGCGGAGGGGGGGCCCGAGCCACCAGCACCGGCTCGTCGGGGGTGCGGTCCAAGGATGGCACCGCCTCCAAGAGGAGGAACTCAGCTGAGGAGGAGGGTAGCAGCAAGCCCAAGAAGAAGAAAGAGGTATGCTGTGATTCGGCGCCCTCTAGGGAGCTCTGAGGGGATGGCAGGGGATGTGACCGCTTTTTATCCCCCTCATTCAGGATGAAATTCTGATTGCGAGGGGATTTGAAAGAGGCCTGGAGCCAGAGAAGATCATCGGGGCCACAGACTCGTGCGGTGACCTCATGTTTCTCATGAAATGGTCAGTGTCCCACAGTCACACAGTCTGACAGACCACACCAGCAGCAGGCATGTCTGCTTTTTCCATAGCTGCCATTAGCGCCGTTAGCACTGATCGCCTGCCATCTTGTAGTGGTGGACACGGGGCCGCTAGCTGCCATTAGCGCCGTTAGCACTGATCGCCTGCCATCTTGTAGTGGTGGACACGGGGCCGCTAGCTGCCATTAGCGCCGTTAGCACTGATCGCCTGCCATCTTGTAGTGGTGGACACGGGGCCGCTAGCTGCCATTAGCGCCGTTAGCACTGATCGCCTGCCATCTTGTAGTGGTGGACACGGGGCCGCTAGCTGCCATTAGCGCCGTTAGCACTGATCGCCTGCCATCTTGTAGTGGTGGACACGGGGCCGCTAGCTGCCATTAGCGCCGTTAGCACTGATCGCCTGTAGTCTGAGAGTCTTCCCCTTCGTCCCCCTTGCAGGAAGGACTCGGACGAGGCTGACTTAGTGCTGGCCAAGGAGGCCAATCAGAAGTGTCCGCAGATCGTCATCGCCTTCTATGAGGAGCGCCTGACGTGGCACGAGGACGGGGAGAAGAAGGAGAAGGGAGCTGTGAGCGTGTGAGTGGGGGCAGGCCTGAAGACGGACTCGCCCCCTCACCGCCTGCCCAACCGCCCCCCACCCCCACCCCCCACCCAAAGACTCCTTTTTATTACTGTATAAAAACAGGAAACCAAGCTTGGCGATGGAGGCCCCCGTACCCCCTCCATGGCTGCAGCATCCGCGAGCCTGGGGTGGGGGTGGGTCCATGCCAGGTCACCTGATTAGATTAGTAGGTTAGTTTGTCAGTGTTAGGATTCTCTGTGTGAATGAGGTAAAAACGGCCCCCCCCCAGGCCTGAGGCGGCATGCGGCGACCCGCCACCAGGTGTGGGACCGTCTCAGTTACTGTACCCATGTGGCTCTGGGGGCAGGAGGGCCGGCCCACTTGTTCTTTGAGAAGTTCCTCTCACTCTTCTTGTTTCTTCTCTCTCATCTCTCTCTGTTGTACCCGCCATCGTGTTTGCCGAGATTTCTTAGTGGGTATCATCCTTTATGTTAAAGGAGCAAATCAAACCGTGTGGAATTTGGTGGAGAGACTCGTCACGTAATCTGATGTCTCTTGGAGGAGGTTAGTGTTTCTCTGGAGGTTGTTTTCGTTTCTGTGACCGTGCTTGCACATGCTTGTCTTGTGATGTCATACAGGGCAGAAGCAGTTCAGACCTCCAGCTCCGAACCAGGGGTCCACGTGGGGGTGCTGTTTTGCATGCAGGTTTATTGGCCCAAACAGGCTTCCGTCTCGCTCCCTCTTGTTGAGCTGGTCATGTTCATATTGGCAGTGATGAGACTTTGACAATCAGCATGAAAGTCGCAACTGCCTTGGTTACTATGCCAACAGCAGCAGTGCAGAGTGCGGTCGCCTGCAGGGGGAGTGCTTAGACCTTAAGGCAGGGGTGGCCAATCTTATCCGCAAAGGGCCGGTGTGTGTGCAGGTTTTTGGGATAACCTGTAGGTCAGCTGTTCAAACCCAGGTGTGAAGACTCTTTCAGCCAATCAGTCCTCTAATTAGTAATCTAATTAGGGAGTTGCAGTGAAAACCCGCATACACAGCGGTCCTTTGCGGATAAGATTGGCCACCCCTGCCTTAAGGTATGCAAACCTCAGCAGCGTGTGGTTTGTGGGGCCCTGTCAGTTACAAATACCTTTGCTTATAGGGTTCAGAGCTGCCCCCCCCCCATACCCCACACAGCCCCACTTCCTGTACACTGAGCTGCCGTTAGCGCATTAGCATTCGCTAGTGGCGCTTCATCGGCGCCGGTTTCCTCTGCTCTACAGTCTGACTGTGCCGATGCCCACTGTCGCTGTTCGTACAAGGTCAGCTCCTCCCTCTGGGGGCAGTGTTCTGGTCTGTGACAGTTTGAAATCTTACAG